GTAGTTGTACGAGCTGTAGCTTTTTTGTGTGTATACATACTGTAAAAAAGCGAAGAAAACAAATAGAGGGGTCCACAATGAAATATAATGTCATGTTTGATGTGAGATATTATCTCACTTCTAGATGCGACATAGAAGGACCCATAAACAAAATTACACTGAATACATGGCATTTGCATGCCCCCGATATTGACCAACTCATTTGGGTACTCGGAAATACATTTTGACTAACTCATCCACCTCACAACAGATGGATACAAAATGTTATTCACATGTACAAGCAGTATTTGTTAAGAGAGCAAGATGGACAGGGAAAAAAGGGCATCAAATAAGCAATAAAGTGCCAATCAGATCTCTCATCATATAACGTCCCCGTTGGTTGAAGCTCAGCGTTCCACTTCAATTTTCAGCTGCTATGTATCAATCTACAGCTGTATTATAATGTACATACAGATAGTACCCCAGCACGATGAAAAATGAAACTATAGCACCGAGGCTCCAAATGTGACTGCCAATCAAGTTACTCATTTGACATTTAAGTTGGCTCAAGGATGACCAACATGTACTAGTCAGAACTCAGAAGGAGTTTACTCTTGAGGCCTCGTTTGATACAAAGGGATTGAGAGGGTTTTGAGAGGATTAACCCCGCGAGGCTGAGAAACCTCGCGAAAGCTGGACGACCCATTTGTTTCGCCGGGTTTGCAAAGCCCATCCCCTTCGATCCCCGTCGGCCCCCTCCTATCCACGCGGATCTCAGCCCTCGAGGGGGGACTCAAGCATTTGGAGGAGACGACGCTGTGGTCGCCCGACTCCTCCTCAGGACGCCGCCGCCAGATGTCTCGACGCCGGCGTACCTCCTCCGGCATACTGGACTTCTCCCCGGCGGTAAGACCTCGCTTCGCCTCCTTTCCCCTCGTCGTCTAGGGTTCTTCCATCTGCCTGGCCATGGCTGCCGCCGCCCTCCCCGGCGAACTCGCCAAGCACGCCGTCTCCGAGGGCACCAATGCTGTCACCAAGTTCACCTCCTCCTAGGCTCCTCTTTCCGTGAATCCACTGGATTCTGTATGTAGTTGGCTGCACCCGGTCGATTGTGTTCTGGATGTGTAATCTCGTGCTGCTTGTTGGTCTGAAGAAATATTCATGGGACTGCCGAGTGAATGTTCAACATTACTTGCGTGTCACATCATATTCTTCTTGCTTTTGTGTTTATTACTATTCGATTTAATCTGGAAGTAGTTCTGTACCTCTTGATTTAGCTCTAACAAGGCCATGAAATAATTCATACTATTTCTTCATTGTACTTTTTCCTTTGCAAAGAGTCTACAGTCTCCGAAGTTGAACGGAGCTTGCCTTTGTTCTCATTTTAATTTTGTATTTGTATTTATAGTTTGTATTTCTGTTAATAATTTGTGATTCTTCTGTAATGTCCAATGTCGTTGTGAGGCAGCTAGCTTTGAATTAGACGAACATGCAAATTTTGTGTTCTCTGTTCCATAATGCGATGGAGGCGTGACTGTTCCATATGCACGATCTATAGCTGTTAGTTGTTACTAATCTCTGCCATGCAGTTGTGCTCTTGATAGTAGTAATAATGTACAGTCAGATTTTAGGCCGATAATTCATGTACAGTAGATTATGTTTCAGCACTAGGTGCAGAAGAAAGTATACATTGTTGAATGGTCCTGCTTAATTGCCTGCTGTCACTGAGCATTAACATGGTTGCCGATGCTTTTTTGGCTCATTCGTGGTGACTTAATTTCCGCTGCTTCTGGTAAACTGAGATTGAAAGCAGTGATGCATTTTGCTGATTTTCTGCTGCAGTCTGATGGTTACTAGATGGAATGTTTTTATTTGACCAGATTGGGTAACTTCACACTGAATTTTATTTTCAGGGGCAAGATCTCATTGCGAGCTTTAATACCATTTACACAAAATATACCTGGTCGTTGCTGTTTCATTTCATATAATTCCTTCGGAAATGAAAGAGACGGTGCCCACAAAGTCTTTACAAATGCTGAGAACCATGAGATCTTTCTCAATTCTGCCGCCGAAGATGAAGAGAGCGCTGCGGTGTTTCATCAGAGCGAAATGGCAGAGTTGCCTCGAGGTATGGACAAGCCAATCTCTTTTGACATTTTGCTCCACTTCATAAAAACTAAGATTGTTGTTCTTGCTTTTGTGATCCATGTTCTGAAGCCTGCACTAGTACTTCTCTCTGTTTTGAGATATATAATAAATATTTTTCATTTTCATTCTGCACTTGCTTAGGCTACTCAATTTTTGGTTCTCAGTACTAGAGCTTTTTACAAAAAATACTTATTATTTATGGTTAATATCCTGTCCCTGTAATCTGCTTATGCCTACTTGCTTGTGCTGAAGTATTAGGTGCAAAAGGATCTGATTATTTCTTTTCATTGCATGGTGAACACCAAGAATGTTATGTAACAATCTCAGTATATGGTGAATACTGAGCCTTCTTTCTCCACTATATTTCATAAAATGGTTCTAGTGGTGTCAGCAATAGCAAAGGAGCCTGATTACGTTAGTTGACAGTTATGCATAAAAGCTAACATGATGGCACGGTTTAAACATGTAAACGTTATAAGGTGATTCTTTCTAGCTCGCATAATCATTTTATGAATGTCCAAGGTTGCACGCATAAGCTTGATGCATAAAGTGGCTCCATATTTTTGATATGTTCAGGGATTTTTTTTCCGCATCTAACCCTTGGACCAATTCATCTGTTTTTATAGGGACATGATCTCGTGGAAGAAGGGCGTCCACCCTTTTGCTGCCACAAGTCTCCTCCACTCTCTTCATCCCGCAAACATGTCTCGGACCATTCGCCGATCAAACATGTGTTTATGTTGTGATGAACCATTGACTTTTGTTGACCGAACATCTTGTATTTTTCGTTTGGACCGTGGCATGTGTCATGCTTTTCATTTGGACCTTCACATATATGCATGTACCATTTTCATTTGAACCGTTGATAGTACTTGTAACAAAGCATGTTTCTTATTTTGCGTAATCTAGTTGCACCTTTGTTGCAAGTACATTTCTTCTGTGAGCTTTTGAAGTTATAAAAATTGCATTTTTAATTATAGTAAAGTAATTTTGCAAACCCTGTGTAACAAATAGTTGTGGTGTGTGAGGGGTTTAGGGATTGGTGGGTTTTGAGAGGATTGGGTGAAAGGGAGGGATTCACCAAATCCTCCCAAATCACCTCCTCCCAAAACCTCCCCGATCCACATCTATCAAACGAGGCCTGAAGATATCAACTCATACGCCTGTTGCCAAATCTGATGCTGAAAAGATTTATCGATATGACTACTGTTTGTTGTTACAGAATTGCATCCAGCCGCAAAAGAAAACAATAGGGGGCATGCTATTATTACTTGTAGCATAGAAATTTGGGAATGCATGATACATGGTATATCCCTGTCCCTGCCACTATTGCAAAGTCTCTTAAACAACCAATTATTGGAGATGGACCATGAAGACAACTCAAGATATCCTTACAAGAGTCACATCGTTTTCCATGTGGAACCAAACTAAAGCCAGAGACTTCCTCCTGCATGCTGCCCCAAAAGGAGGAAGCTTGTCCAGTTCAATATTTCTTCCCGGTATATTTTGGGGGACTGAACCTGCATCGACGAACAATCATGACACTGAATTGGTGCAAGAAGATATAGATCCACCGCTAGCGGAGGTAGATGCTGGAGTAGGAACCTGGAATCAGACCAGGACCAACTAGCAAGGGAGGCGATGAAGAACATGTTCTTGCAAGAGAGGCAGAGAAGCATCAAGATGGAGGTGAGACTGATGGAAGCAAGCCAAGCAAAGTTGAGCTAAGAGAGGAGGAGTAGGCGCGCATGGAGACTAACCGACACAAGGCATTGGAGATATGAAACCTGATGCTCACAAAGTTGTTGTTTACATGCATCAGCCATATGCATGATGGACTCTCAGACAGCCTCTAATTCTATGGGATGGAAACATCTATGTTTGAAGTGCTCAAGAAACTAAATCATAGCTCATCCAAAATTGGGCATGCATTGTAGATGAAATGATCAGAAGAATCTTAATACAAGATATTAACTAACTCATCCACTCATACAGAGAAAAACTAGCACTCTCAGCTACTAATAGACCATCTCGACAAACATAACCTGGACGCCAATCTGCCAACACAAACATCGTTATGAGTCTTGCTGCCAACATCTCTTGCTTACATAGATACATATGACACATAATACAGACTTATCAAGCTACATCAACACCATCTTGAACATTCGCCATCCAACTCCAGGTATTTGACCCAAGCAAGAACAGAGCAACTAGAGAGCAAGCTGAGATCTGCAGACATGTACTTAGTTAGAAATTTGAAGCTACCCCATTGGATGCAACGGGAATCTTTCCTATCCCAATTTCTTAAGAAGAAGGCATGCGCTAAATTGCAGAGTACATTATAGCCTAAGAATAACTGAACAAAAGCTGCTTATTCGTGCCACCGCAAGTATCCCTGATCCATCTTATTGCAGTTTGGAAGCAATATACATAAAAATTAGCAGACCACAATAGGTGACCCTATCTGTTTCTGGAAACAGGGCATGGTAAATAAGGAAAGCTCATAATTAGATGACTAAGAGCCTTCAAACATCAACTTGCAGGTTATGAAACATTCTTGATTTGAACATTCTTGTGTAAGTGCAAAGTATGACGTACTAAAGATGTACCATATGACGATGCAAGCGTGTAAGCTATTTTCTCGCCGAAAATATGGAGCAACAAATATTAGCTTTCCAACTAGTATGTATTCTTTTTCTTTCCACTAACATGCATGCCAAACCAAACCATGAATTGGTTGCCTCACCTAGCTAGTTTGACAAGGCAATCAAGCACAATAACACAATAACTAAGTCTATATATAACAATGTGATTAGAACAAGCCAATTGTGCACAAAATGACAAAAAAAATGATTAGGCTTACCAGTGGATCAAATAGTTGGTTCAGATAATAGTTGTGGGAAGTTAAAGTATGGGATGGCGCGTCTGCGACCAAAGAAATTCACCATCTTTGTACAGACCTTGGTAATTTCATAAGTTTTGATATCCATTGAGTAACAATCAACATTCTCAAACTTAATGCCAAGCGGAGCACCTTGGAAGAACAAGAACCCCTCAGCTGCACCCACTGTCGAAATGGAATAGGCCTTATACTGCCCAGGTAGTTGTATGATCTTCTCCAGCTTCCATTCATGAGAGTTATCCCGCAGAGAGGTATTGTGGAGAGAATAGGACCCATGTTGACATAAAAGAGAAAACATATCAATGCCTCCTTCCCTACCCTCAACAACTGCATTTGGACGCCGATAACCAAAGCTTGGGTCTGTGTCTCTGAGCTGTACATGGTAGCCGGTGAGAAAATTGACGGTTGAAAACTTCAAAGTGCGTGTGTCCAGCACCATCAAATGGTCACTCCAAAACCAAAGACGTGTCCAGTAAAAGCAGTCTCTTACACGGTCAAAATAGGACATGTCTTTCAAATACGGGAGGGCAGGGGACTCGACCACACACCATTGCATAGTTGTAGACTGGAAGACAAAGAGGACGAGCTTTGTTCGGTATCTTGCTATGCATATTACCTTGAAGGGCTCCTCCTCGCCGTCGTTGCTGGTTTTTGGGACAAGCATGGGCTCGAATTCTCGTAGGGGATCCTGCGGCTGGGAAGCCAGGTCCTCAGGTATGGTTGGAAGCAGCACATATCTGCAGGACAGAGGGTCACATACGGCAAGGTGAAAGTCAGCGGCATTGCACTGATCCCGTTTGATCCACGCGAGGCGGCGACCATCGTCGCAGAAGTCAACGAGCTCCCAACTGTCCATGAGGATGCTTACTTCGGAGCCATCTTTGGAGTAGCTCCAGCCGTTGATGACGCGGGCCTTGAGGGATATCCAATCGAGGAGGACAAGACCGTCGCGGGCGTCACAAGGGCGCCAGCGGGGACCATCCTCGTCGGGCGAGACGTCGGATGAGGAAGAAACAGCCCTCGGGGCGAAGGAGAAATCCTCGACACGCGGGCCGAGGGCATGGGCGAGTGGGGCGGAGGGGTGCGGCGCCTCGGCGGGCTGGAATCCGGCCACATCCATGAATCCGAGGAGGGGAGGCTAGTGCATCGCGCGAAAGCGGCGGCGGAAGACGCGCCCTTTGATGACGTGGAGGAAGGAAGTGCAGGTGGCGGAGGCGCGGGCGAGCATCTCCAGGGTGGGCAGGCGGAGGAAGATCTCCTCCATGAGCTTGTCGGGGATGGGGATGGAGGACGGCGCCGGCGGGGCCATGGAGGTTTGGTGGAGGAAGGTGATCTAGGGTTACGGTTGGGGATAAATCTTCTGCCGGGGAGCGACTAGTGAGTGGGAGAGGGAGCTCTACCAAGCCAATTCCTTTTGAGAGACACTTTCTTAAAATCTACTTCCCTATTTGGCCCAAAGAATTATTTTCTTTCCTATTTCACAGTAAGTTTTGTTCCTTATAGTTTCGTCCATTTTACCCACTAACGTTGTTAATTGAGAAATGAAAACACAGTTTTGCATCTCATGTAAAAATACAACTGTTTGGAACGATATAAACAGAAACTAAAAAGGAAAATATACAGGAGATTATTAGCTTAGGTTCCGACTATCACTGCCTGTGCATGTGTATGGCGACCTTGTTGGCCGATGCATTTGGCTCACGTACGAATACGCGCAAGTACACGAAGCAACGCACATTGTACACCAGTTTAATTAATATTATATGCATACATGAGCTATCTACATGAGAGGTAAAAGCGTCTTTTCACGTCTCACTTGACGCCTATAGTGGACAAATTGAACGGAAGTGTTACTCCGTCCCCCATAATATACATCATTTTTTACACTACTGTAGTGTCAAAAACACTCTTATATTATGAGACGGAGGGAGTAAATAGAAAACAAAATAAAAAGTAGTGTCATATAGTAAAAAATATATATTTTAAGGGGCAAATAGGGAAGGAAATATTGTATGCAATATTTATAAAGCCCAAAATAAGGTTTATATAAAAAATATTATATGTACTTCATATAAATATTTATCTGGAAAAAATGTTCTTGGGCTATATAATAATATTATGGAATTATATGAAAGTTTGTATAATTTTCTAAGTTGAGATGGTGTGGTTTTTAAGTAAAATCATTTGAAGTTTAGGAATGAACAGGAAATGTTTAAACCTAACATCTAAACTTGTCATATTTTGGGCGCAGCCCAGCTAACCTGGCCAGTCCGTGCAGCCCACTTTAACCAATCGCCCACACGCGCAAGACACCCCATTAATAGCCTAGTAAGCAGGCACGGCTCGCATAGCGGCAACCCACATCGCAAGGCCCAACACAGCAACATGACATCCTTTTCTTTTTCTTCCTCAGCCAATGACACATGGGACCCACTTGTCAACGCCTCTACACACTTCGTTCCACAAACACACAGGGTCCGCACTTTCCTTATACCTCCTCCCGAGTTCAAAGCTAGTGGACAACTCTGCCAAAATCCAGTAGAGCCACGCATAATCCTCGTGATTCTATTGATCTCGTGCCCTTGATCCAAACCAGGAACTTTCCTCGAGTTCTTCTCTGTCGATTCCCCTCGACATATTGTAAGGTCTGCCTCAGCATCAGCTCAGCCAACCCGCCGAGATCCGCCACGCGAAACCACTCAGACGATCGATTCCGCTACCTATGGTGAGCCCCACAACTCTCCAAGAGAACCAATTAATCAATTCCATGTGTACGCTCACACCTCTCTGACCTATCCCTTTTCTCCGGATCACCCCGAATTGAACTCCTCGACAAATCCCTGAGTACGCCATCACCGCCACCTGTTCATCTGCCTACCACCATCAATACATGATGCACCTGAGCACCCTGGCTACACCAACAAACTCCTCACACATGTTCTCATCTTTGAGATTTTTCGCTCATTCCGTATGGCCACCAGGAGCAATGTCCGAGCCACCATCGCCGTCATCCCTTCCGGCTCCGACCAACTTTCTGGTGAGGACACCCACTCGCAAACCTAGTTGATGTGGCAACATATTTGTGGTCCGTCGTCACTTGATCGCACGGCTGTTGTTTTAATCAGCGAATGGGTATCCACCAATCACATGTTGCCATGTGTACATCATTTAGTTTGAATATCTTTTCGGCCGGAATTGTTTCTGTAATTTTACATATAGGCACATGTAACCTTAATTCATCGTTTCTTTTTATCGTAGCGCCGTTTGTGATGAAACCAATCGTGTTTGATTCATATTGAAGCCCTCTTTCCATTGGCACCATTCATTTTAACTCTACGCCATATTATTTTGGTAAAGACAGTAATCTTTCATTCTTTCAGAATCTGCTGCAACAACAACCCTTTTTTCTCTGTTTTCGCTGCCACGACACACTTTTGACATAATCGGTTCAAACCTTGTTTTAGCTATAACTTGTGATCCACATATTCAAATTCAGTGAATATTTTTTCAAATTGTTCGTAATAATCTTGAGTATCCAGTAGAATAATTATTTGCAATGATCGAACTTTCAAATTTGAGCAACTCAAATTTGAATTCAAACCTTCTCTTGATCGTATCTTGCAAACCATAACACCTTTTCAATCGATTCCTTTTGCGTTTGGTCATTTGCACCAAATACCCCCTCTGTCTGGAAATACTTGTTGGAGAAATGCATAAAAATGGATGTATCTAGGACCAATATACATCTAGATACATTCATTCCTCCGACAAGTATTTCCGGACGGAGGGAGTACTTTCTATTCATATATAGAATAACCCAAAATTCAAATATTCTTTTACCTGTTTGAATTTAAATAAATTTCAAACTTCATTCTGGTATAACTTGAGCTGTGTACTCCTACTTAATTGCTTCTTGTTGCAAATGAATCTCCATGTCATATGCAATCTTTTAATACATATGCAGTAGGAGCCTTTCCTACTGTTTTCACTGTAAAAAGAATGGCATATGCAATATGTCAAATAACACATCGTCTCCTTTGAGCACCTCTGCCAATTTGTGGAACTTTGGACTAGTTTCCACGGTTTCCAATTGGATGAGCATGCCGATCATGACATAGTTTGGAAGCACACTACAGATGGGCAATATTCAGCAGCTTCCGCCTATGTGGCACTGCTACCTCTTGAGCACTGCGTTGGATTTCCCCGAAGAGGAGAGGATGATGTAATAAAGTAGCGTAAGTATTTCCCTCAGTTTTTGAGAACCAAGGTCTCAATCCAGTAGGAGATCACGCACGAGTCCCTCGTACCTACACAAAACGATAGCTCCTCGCAACCAACGCGATTAGGGGTTGTCAATCCCTTCACGGTTACTTACAAGGGTGAGATCTGATAGAGATGATAAGTAATATGTTTGGTATTTTTGATATAGAGATGCAAAGTAAAAAGTAAAAGGCAAAGTAAAAACAAAGCAAGTAAATAAAGTAATGGAGATTGATATGATGAGAATAGACCCGGGGGCCATAGGTTTCACTAGTGGCTTCTCTCAAGAGCATAAGTATTCTACGGTGGGTGAACAAATTACTGTTGAGCAATTGATAGAAAAGCGAATAATTATGAGATTATCTAGGTATGATCATGTATATAGGCATCACGTCCAAGACAAGTAGATCGAAATGATTCTGCATCTACTACTATTACTCCACTCATCGACCGCTATCCAACATGCATCTAGAGTATTAAGTAAAACAGAGTAACGCCTTAAGCAAGATGACATGATGTAGAGGGATAAATTCATGCAATATGATAAGAACCCCATCTTGTTATCCTCGATGGTAACAATACAATACGTGCCTTGCAACCCTTTCTGTCACTGGGTAAGGACACCGCAAGATTGAACCCAAAGCTAAACACTTCTCCCATTACAAGAACTACCAATCTAGTTGGCCAAACCAAACGGATAATTCGAAGAGATTTTCAAAGATAACTCAATCATACATAAAAGAATTCAAAGAATAATCAAATATTGTTCATAGATAAGCTGGATCATAAACCCACAATTCATCGGTCTCAACAAACACACCGCAAAAAGAAGATTACATCGAATAGATCTCCACAAGAGAGGGGGAGAACATTGTATTGAGATCCAAAAAGAGAGAAGAAGCCATCTAGCTAATAACTATGGACCCGAAGGTCTGAAGTAAACTACTCACACTTCATCGGAGAGGCTATGGTGTTGATGTAGAAGCCCTCCGTGGTAGATGCCCTCTCTGGCGGAGCTTCGAAACAGGCCCCAAGATGGGATCTCGCGGATACAGAAGGTTGCGGCGGTGGAATTAGGTTTTTGGCTCCGTGTATGATCTGACGGGGGTACGTAGGTATATATAGGAGGAAGGAGTACGTCGGTGGAGCAACAGGGGGCCCACGAGGAAGGGGGCGCGCCCTGGGGGGCGCGCCCTCCACCCTCGTGACTGCCTCTGGCACTTCTTGGAGTAGGGTCCAAGTCTCCTGGATCACGTTCGGTGAGGACATCACGTTCCCGAAGGTTTTATTCCGTTTGGACTCTGTTTGATATTCCGTTTCTTCGAAATACTGAAATAGGCAAAAAACAACAATTCTGGGCTGGGCCTCCGGTTAATAGGTTAGTCCCAATAATAATATAAAAGTGGAAAATAAAGCCCAATATAGTCCAAAACAGTAGACAAAGTAGCATGGAGTAATCAAAAATTATAGATACGTTGGAGACGTATCAAGCATCCCCAAGCTTAATTCCTGCTCGTCCTCGAGTAGGTTAATGATAAAAAAGAATTTTTGATGCAGAGTGATACTTTGGCATAATTTCAATGTAAATCTTCTTAATTGTGACATGAATATTCAGATCCGAAAGATTCAAGACAAAAGTTCATTTTAACATAAAAGTAATAATACTTCAAGCATAAAAATTAAAGCAATAATGTCTTATCAAAATAGCATGGTTAAAGAAAGTTATCCCTACAAAATCATATAGTCTGGCTATGCTCTATCTTCATCACACAAAGTATTTAATCATGCACAACCCCGATGACGAGCCAAGCAATTGTTTCATACTTTAGAAATCTCAAACTTTTTCAACTTTCACGCAAT